TTCTCGTAGCAATCTGATACTGTAAACTCTTTATAACGTCACTCGATTTAACGACAAACTCCTTAAAACGTCGAAATTGCTTGACTTTGGTTGGTTTACATTGTTTTCTATACAATATTACACTCTATATAGCGTCACGCTCACTCTATTTAACGACAACAATGCGGCATTATAAATCATTGAGCAGTACTTTCTAAGTTGCCGAAATAGATAAGAACTGCAGCTGTGTACGTTGTTGAAGAAGACGATCCTGTCCCTCCACCAAGCATCAAACAAGCACTTGATGCAGCGAAACTATTAAAAAAATACTTTTTATATAATCAAATTGATCCAGCAGTATCTCAAGATATGAGTAAGATACGTAACAAAATACAATTAAAATATTGGAGCAGCAAAAAACATCAGACGAAGATAACAGGCTATACGCAATGTATGAATAATAATGTTCGTGTGCAAAATGTGTACTATATTGGTAAATGCATATTATTATAGAATAGTAAAATAATATCTTTTATTTCTCTCCATTTAACGACCACTCTTTATAACGCCGAAAAATGTTCGGTCCCTTAAGTGTCGTTATATAGAGTTTACACTGTACTTGATATTCATTAATAAAAAATTTAAGTAGGGAAACTTGCTTTTTCCTAAAGATCCTTAATCGACTATGACTAAAAATTATTGGAAAATTCTAAAAACAGAAAATTAGCAACTTTAACCAATAAAACATAAAATAAAAGAAAGACAGGGATTCTTTCAGTTCCCTTTTTGGAATTTTGGTGATAGTGTATATCTATAAGCTATTATTTACTATAAAAATTTTGTTTTTCTCTTTACAAACATTTTTACGAAATGCAGTGAAATGTTCTGTTGAAGTCAAACTGAAAGTCTTCTAATAATCACGGAACACTCGGAATTTCCAATCTACGTTCCTATGCTGCCGGTTTGACCCTACCTTTTTAAAAAGTAACCACTTTTCTCAATAAGAAATCCTACTTTTACTTTAACGGCTATATTACTCAAGTTTATAAATCTTGGATTAGTAAAGATCAATAAAATACATATTGTATAAGTGTTATAACGTTTTCGTATCTAGGATAGTCAGTGGGAGTGACACGATTGAAAAGGCTTGGTGCTCTCGCAGGTATCAATTCCGACAACGGACGGTCTCTGATCAAACAATTACATTACGATACGGGCATATATTCAATTGTTATTGTTGCGCGAATTATCGCCGACAAAGCAAATTGCGCACGCGATCCCAGCCTTTATTACTATTATTGTTATATAGGTGATACATTACGTATAAATGCAAGTGAGAGGTGTCGAAGATCAGGAAATTGCCCTTCCTCGATACATCGCGTTTGTAATGTGAAACTTATTACTTCGTACATTTGTGTACAAGGTGTTTCTCAAATTAGTGGTAAGCTAAGGAGAGTGTCTACTAGATGCAATAGGAAACCGCATACGGTGAGTACAGCAGCGGATTAAAAGACAAAAAAATCCGAAGCCGGTCCTGGGCGTGAATTGCCAACCTATCTACGCACTGAATTGAGATAAGAATTCAGAAGCTACAACCATGGAGAACGTAAACAATACCGCTTGTCGATTGGCTAAAGTAAATATCAACAAAATTACTATTAAACATACTGTTCGTTTCAATAAGTTAGAGATATGCCCCTTCCCTTTATTAGGATGCGTCGTAGCATAGTTCCAAATTCAATCATATTTGTCTGCGTAGACAAAAGTGTACAGTACCATTTGCAAAATTATTTAAACTGCCTCGTTAAAATTTAACATTTGCTTTATTTAAAAACATATTTAGCAAAAAATAATAGCAAGTGAATTAACTTAACGTTCTACACACCTATAAAACTTTTGCTTTGTTTTCTATTGTCAATTTATATACATTTTTGTTTTAAAAAATTGCTAAACATTTTCGTCTAGTACTGTACAGTTCTAGCCGATCTCCTAAGACCGCCCATCGAGAGCTCTGTTCGTTCAAGCTTGTTCCAACTATTTCTGTCTTGCTCACGCCTAGTGTGTATTCTTTCTATCTTCGCGCAGATTTCTTCAAGGTTACAATTCTAACAAATTGAAATAGACTGTTATCTTTTGATGGTTGTGACGGTAAAAATAAATTGTTAGTTGTTGATAGTATGCAGCACTATTTAAATCAGAGCCGGGCAAACTTTAACTTCGTAGGAGCCGCTACCGAGGTTTGTTTAAGTCACTCCATACCCTTCAATGAGTATGAGACAGTACGCTGCTAACCTATTTCGCCTATTTCTTATTGACTTCCTGTTCTCTTATTCTTTCTAATACCTCTTCATTGCTAACCTTCTCTATCCACGGTATCCTCATTATTCACCGGTCACACCACATTTCGAACGCTTCTAACCTTATTTTTCGCAGCGTCGCATTCCAAACATACACCTTTAACAATCATTTTTTTATTTCTAAATTAATCGTTCGCGGGCATTGAAGTAACTATTATTTTTACTGAAGGTGATATAAAACCAAATTTTCACACCACCCTTGAGATATTGTCAAGGCGCGTTACCTTTCTTACACAGTACACACACACAAATCCGTATACACTATAAAACTGTTCGAAATTTGAATCCCATTCGAGAAGACATGCATCGAGACGTCCACCAAAATTATTTTTGTATTTACCAAAAATGTTTGGCAGTTGCACCAATACTAGCTATCATTACTTCTTGAAACAATGTTTGTCCATAAACAACATTCCCTGAAAACAACTGAGTTCTACAGTACTTTCCTTCTGAAATCACTGATGCATATCCACTAGGAATATCAGTTTCCTGCAAGATTCGTACATAACTAGTAACTAGCTGTGACACAAACATCTTGAATCACTCTTAATCTAATATAACAAATAATAAACAATAAATGAGCAAAAAATACGAACCAAATATAACACTGACGCTGCTAGTTACCAGCTGATTAAATACGGTGTTGCGTTGTCACATTTCTGTCCAGGGCCGGAATTAGATTTGCCTGTACCTTCAATGATGTTTTTCTCGAAAACAGCGAACTTTTAGATGTGTAAACATTTACTTTATTTTCTTATTTTATACTGCCCTATCATCTCCTGCAAGGTTGCTACTTATTTCAGAAACACCCTTCATAGATAGAAATAACTTCTTTCTCCAAATGTATGTGTACCTATATCATATTTCGCGTATTTTAGGCAGAAGTTTAATAGACGTTGAATAAATCAGTTTTGTTATGAATCAATTGGTCCACCAAGTTGTCAATGTAGTAATGTTGTAAAGAGATAAAATCGATTTGTTAATTTGTATCATATCCAGGATAATCTCTGCAACTTTATGTTGCTGTAGTCAAATTTGGTCTTATCGTGTTGATCCAAAGGTCACTAACTACTAGGATATTAGTTGGTGAATTTCCACATTCTCCTTTTTTCTTGAAGCAGTTTATCAAAAATATCATAGTGCATCATAGTGCATGCTTGCGGATAACGAAAACCAGAAAATTGCTGTTATTATTTATATTGACAGGGCAGTCATTCTAAATTGTCAAAATTACAAGGCGGGCATTTAATCAAGACTTTAGAATCGCTGATAATTTCACATGTTGAAAGATTTTATCTATTCCATATCCTGACTTAGTTACAGGGATGCAACGAAAGAAAAAAAATAAAAGAGCGGTTTTGACTCCATTCCGGTTCCTTTTTTGTAAAAAGGCCTCCAGAAATAAGATTTCAAACTATTTATGATTACTCTCTACGGAATGGAGGGTATCTACATCAAAAATGTAAAATGTGTACACAAAAGTCAGGAAAAAAACTACTTTTAATATAGAATGATCAAAATTTTATATCGTACTAGAAGCGAAACCCGGCGTTGCTCGGTTTAAAATACATCGCATGTTTAATGATATATAAGGTATCCACTTTTTAACGTAGATAATATAGATTTCTATCTTAGATACCACCCTGTACCTTTATAAAATTTCTTAATAATAGTAGATCGTTCTAGAATATTCTAGAATATTTGGACAAAATCTAGAAAATTATAGAAATCCTTGATAATTAATTGCGGACATTTGGAACTTTCCAGATCATTCCAGATATTTCTAGAAATTGCTGGACCATTCCATATCGATTTTAACACTTGCACACAATTTAGAACTTTCCAGATCACATTCCAGATATTTCTAGAACTTTCTGAAACATTCCATATCCATTTTAACAGTTGCATACAATTTGGAACTTTCTATATCATTCCAGACATTTTTAGAACATTCTAGATCGATTGTAACAGTTGCACACATTATGGAGTTTTCTGGATAATTTCAGAAATTTTCAGAACTTTCCAGAAGGTCTCACTTCCACCCACCGCCACCAAACTCCCTTACATTCAGCAGGAGACCAAGGGGTATTTACCACCCCAACGAGAAGCTATAATATGAATTTAATTTATACTTCAGTCTAAGTAACACGTGGTCCGGCTATGCTAACACCAAAAATTGAAAAAGTAAAATTCACTGTATTTCGTTTACTACAAAATAAATTTAACCTATACTTTAGCCTCAGCAACATGTGGTGGTTATGCTATTAAAATTGTAGCTTATATGAAACGTTTGGAAGTTTGACATAGCGCCATCTATTGAATATTGCGATTATAAATTGAGATGTAAGTTATCCTATCTTTCAAGTTTGATCAATCTGCACAGGGTGTACAAATTTGGTTAAAATCGGTGAAGTAGTTTAGGAGTCCATCGCGGACAAACAACGTGACACGTAATTTATATATATTAAGATTAAGGAATCAAAAGTGGCACCTAATTGCATACGGTAATATTACCTGGACAACTCGAATTACAAAGAAAATTGAAAATATTTTGAGCTTCGGATTGTTTCGTGTTACAAAATTTACTAACATTTCGTAATATATCTACGTATTTACTCATTCTGCGTTAAAAACAAGTTTATTCATTTTAATAATTCTACTTACATGGGTGGGTTGGGGCAAATGGATAATCGAGTTGTGGCAGCCTTGGTTGCGTCGTTGCTCCTGGATGAAGAGAAGGGGGGCAGTGGTAGCAAAACATGCCACGACCACTCCCACCCCCAATCTGAAAAGCAAACAACAAAAATTAACTCATGTAATTTCTTAACCTTAATTATCTTCTTATGGAAAATACTTAAAAAATAATAATAATGTCGTTAGAAGAACAACACCGTTCAATTAAATGCGGCACCCTCAATATTTTCTCATAGTATTTGTTTGGACATGTACGAATTTTCTTTGAATAATTCTAATTTTACTAAATCATTAAATTAGAATATCGTTAGTATTACTTTTACGTTAAGAACCTCGACAAACAGACTTTTACCTTCATCGTACGGCCATCAGTGCGAACACTGATTAAAAACCCACCTCCAGTCTTTCTTCTCCTGAGCAAGTCTTCGCATTTCTCGACAACGGGACATTTCGCATTCCTAGCTATTTTTTACCCTGTTGTCTACTTCTAATACATCTCTAATCAGTCCATCATGCCTGAGGAAGTAGGTGTTCTACCATATGAAATCTCACCTTTTCTTTATTCATTTCTATATAGGGCCTTCTGCTATCTATTTTCTCCAACATCTCTCCATTGCTAATATTTTTTATACCCAGAGCCTATCGTCCAGATGGAGGAATAAACGCCGACGTGGTTTTGAAGTTAACAAAAAACTGTATTACCCTGCTGACACTAATTTGCAAGTATTATAATTGAACAGGAAGTAATGATACTACATAATTAGGTGTCTTTCAATGTATACAACAGTTGATGTCGATTCTGCCTGAATTTAAGTCAGTCCTAAGACTGGCTGGACATGCACCTCCACTCCTTCCTATCCTGAGCTAATCTTTGCATTTCCCTAAAACTAGAACATCTCACATCCTTAACTATTTGAAAACAGTAATCTAGTTTAAATCTACCTCTACTCCTCTTAACTCCTGTTTCTGACTAGACCTTCATGCCTGAGAAGGTGTCCTACCAACCTAGGTCGCCTATATTTTATTGACTTCCATAGAGTCCTCTGTTCTCCTATTCTTTCTAATACCTCTTCATTTCTAACCTTCTCTATCCACGGTATCCTCATCATTCTCTAATAACACCACATTTCGAACGCATTTAACGTTTTCTATTCGCCGTGCCCACCGTCCATGTTCGCACCCGTACATCGCCTCGCTTCAAATATACACCTTTAACAATCTTCGAATTTCTAAATTAATCATTCCCCAGCATAGAAAAGACTTCGTTTTATTGAAGACGACTCGACTCTGTGTTATCCTCTGCTTTATATCCCTGCTACTCCTTCCGTCCTGACTTATCTGACTTCCTAATAGATATCAAAAAACAGCCACTTCTTCAAATCTTTCGTCTCCTATATTCGTTCTTTCCCTATGTTTTCATCCCTTACATACCAGTATTTTTGTTTTACTTTCATTTTTTTTATACAATACTGTTTTGTCAATACCCTTTCCACTTTATTTAAAGCTGTCTCTAACATCTCCTGAATTTATGTTAGATTAACGTTAATAATTCGTACCGAAGGATCTACCGTCGTCGCCTCAGATCCAGTTAAAGATATTATAATATACACAGTACAAAGACGACAGAGTGTAATAGCACTCATATTGCGTTCATACACGTATGCTATCTTTATCTGGTGTATATATTGTACGTAAACGTACACAGATACATGGATTTATTCAACGTTAAGTGAGTCGCTGCATGTGATGTCACGTATCTAGTTAATGTAGTTAACTTAATCAGAATTAATTTGCTACTAATTCGACCAACATAGCCCGTACTTCTGACTGCTAAAAACGGCTACTGAACGCGCTGTCGTGTCGTCGATAGGTCGGTCCGTCCGTAGTTGTTGCTACGGTCGGCGACAGCCAGGCGTGCGATTTTATTAAATTTATAAACGAGTTTGGATAAAAGCATAGAACATGGTGTCCAAGTCCAAAAAACGAAAAACGAAATAAAAGGGAAATTTAATGCATTAGATTGACGTTTTATATTAATTAATTCAGTAAAATCGATGTTACCCGATATTGTCTTCTAATTTGGTACGAGTTGACATCCTAGGATTACATTACCCTTTGAAATGACTAGTACTCAAAATTTATTGAAAAGTCCAGGTAGTCTCTGTGTTAGCTTATCGTTGTTGTCGCGAATATAGGCAAACTGCAAAAAAAAAATGCTGTTTACACCTCCTTCAAGTTAACCACCAATCCAATTTAACTCTTTCTCTTCTTCTACTTACTCCTGCTTCTGCCTCTAATATAGCTCTAACTAGTCGTATCTCGGAAAGTGTCCTACTGATATGGCGTATTTGTAATCCTTAAATTAACACCCCTTGTTCCACCTATTCTTTATAATATCCTCTCATTCATAACATTTTCTATCCACGGTATTTTTATAACACCCCATCGTAGACGTTTTTCCGCTTAGCGAGCGAAGTGTAAGGGTAAGGAAAGGTGAAATTGACCCCAAAAGAAAAAGTTACGATCGTTCGAAATGTGATGTTACATGGGAATGATGAGGATACCGTGGATATACAAGATTCGAAATGAGGAGATATTCGATAGAGTAGCAGAACAGAGGGCGCTAAGGAAGTCAATAAGAAGTTTACTTCTTCTCAAGCATGAAGGGCTACTTAGAGACTGTTAGAAGAAGAAACAGGAGTTAAGAGTAATAGAGACTGACTTAAATTAGATTATTGTTCACAGATAGTTAAGGATGTTTGATAGAAATGCGAAGATTAGCTTAGGAATAAAATGAGTGTAGGTACGCGTTCAACCAGTTTTAGGAGTGACGACCCTATGATGATGATGATGATGATAAAAAAATATGACGACACCACGGAGAGTGTTCCATGTTGTATTTAATTTCTTAACTTGATATGTAAAAACCAGAAACTACAAGGTAAAAGTGAACTTTTGGGTAGATTTTGAATCGTTCGTCGAAGGAAAAGTTGTCCAGTCTGCTCGCTTCAGTCATGGGAGATTAAATTAAAAAGTGACGTCGATGCCTCTGGCTGCTCCACTCCATTCCGTTCGCTCCTTCTCCACGTATACGTAGGGGTAGTACATAATATACAGGTATATTTAAGTGTGTCTGTACCTATGTAAGTACCCACTTTATGTCTTCTCCCCATAAAAGTTACAGCCAATAATCGTCTTATTCCATTATAATTTTCACGTTAAAAGTTCAAAGTTAAAGTGCATCCGAGTCTTTTAAATACATCCACCTACCTCTACCTATTTAGTAATGTGGCGAGTTATAATCTCATAAAACTTTTTAATGGGTCGATGAAATAAACGTAATACCCGAGTACGTCTGCGTCAAAATTTAATCCTCTCAACGACATCCTCGAGCCCTCCGAGATTCGGGATTTGCCGTTGAAAATATTCCTAAGAACTTCCTCGGGAATTTATTTGTCAAATAGCGGAAAATAGTTTGTTCGGTTGCTATGCCCACTGAATAGTTGAACACGATGAAATAGGGAAATAATTTCATGTAAAATATCTTTATGATCTTTACTGTTTACTGCCTATAATCGAACTCGGCTATAACGAACTCGAAAGAGCTAAGAATTTTATTCGTTATAGACGGCTGTTACAGCTGTTTTTCATTAATATTTTAGTAAATAAAAAAAAAACGTTAATATTCCTTTCAGAAATAAAAAAAAACAGTTCATAAAAATTAAACATATTCCGAAAGAAAGCGACAAAAAATACGTAATGGAAGAAAACCTTTCAAACAATCTAAAATACGTATATGTATAGGTTCATTACTAAAACTTGTGGCTGGGAATTAAATTTAAACTAATTCTGCTAAATACTTTTGTATAATTTACATTTTGTACTATTGAATCGCCATTAACAAAAAGAATACACTTTTATTTTTTTCCGTTAATTTAGAAATTCGAAAAAGATTATTAAAGTTCTATGTCTCAAGCACGACTCTGTACGAGTGCGAAACGTGAGCGGTGGGCGAGGCGCAAAAAAAAGGGTTGGAAGCGTTCGAATTGTGTTGTTGCAGACGAATGATGAGGATACCGTGGATACAGAAGGTTAGAAATGAGGAAGTATTACATAAAGTAGGAGAACAGAGGATTCTGTAGAAGTTAATAATAAATTGGCGAGATAGGTTCTCAGGCATGAGGTACTGCAGTTGGGACTGTCAGAATTGGCAAAGTCCACAGTAGATCTGTAAAAGTGGACGTATCTTTTTCTCCTTGTTCCCATTTGCTGTGTTTTGAACACGCCCTTGTTAAATTACAAAATGCTTCATGAGGAATACAGACAAAGTAAAAAGAGATAACCGAATAATAGTATTAAATGTTGCAGCGGTTAGAGGCTGCTTACGTACGCAAAAGATCAGGGTCGATTTTATAACTGCCTGGGAAATGCAAAGACTAGCGCAGAGTAAGAAAGAACGAAGATGCGTGTTCAACCAGTCCTAAGACTGACGACCCTAGGAAAATGATGATGATAGTAGATTATCATAAATGGCAACATTAAAGTCTTCCTATAAAGCATGAACATCAATCGCCCACCTATCTTATTGTTTACTTAGGAATGAAAAGAGTCGAGGTACGTGTTCAACCGGCCATAGGACTGACGACCCTAGATGATGATAATGATGACTGTGAAGTGCCCAGTCATTTTATCGGGTTGTTCGGAAAGTCATTTCGTTTTTTCCCGACAGAGGATTTAATTGTATTCTTTTGCACCCAACTTCACATTTAAGCCGTATAATTTTTATATGCTTTGAGAGCTCATATAGCAAGGCTTGTGTGTGAAAAATTCCAATTAATTCTACGCAGTAGTTTTTGGTTGGTGCCCTTTTAAATATGGAGAGCGATAAGCAGCATTTTCGACATATCTTACTGTTTTACTACAGAAAGGGTAAAAATGCTGTTCAAGCCAGAAAGAAATTGACTGATGTGTATGGAGAAGGTGTGTTGACAGTACGCCAGTGCCAGAACTGGTTCGCTAAATTTCGATCCGGCAATTTTGATGTCGAAGATGCACCACGTTCGGGAAGGCCGGTTGAAGCTGATAAAGACG